TCCACAGCCTGAATTGTACTGATATTTCTTTTTTAAAATTTTAAAGGTTGCTATTACCTTGTGGATGCTGGTTATACAAAAGCAGATGGTTTTTTAGCCCCTTACCGAGGCCAAAGATATCATTTAGGCCGTTTCACAGCACGTAACCCACCACATAGTGCAGAGGAGTACTTTAACATGAGGCATGCAAGTGCTAGAAATATTGTAGAGAGGTCTTTTGGAAGACTAAAGGGTCGTTGGGCGATTTTGAGGTCCCCATCATATTTTCCTATCAAAACTCAGTGTCGAATTATAATGGCATGTGCTTTATTGCACAACTTAATTTTGCAAAAGATGTCTAGTGATCCATTTGAGGATGAGGACGAGGATGAGGATGAGGACGAGATACCATTGGATATACTTGAGGGAGAACTCGCCGAACCTGAGTTTATCTCAGCTATTTCGACATCTGATGATTGGACAAATTTTCGCAACACTCTTGCTCAGGGGATGTATAATAGCTATAGGGCTCATTGAGGTTTGTGTTTTAAATGGAATTTCTAATTGTTTGCAAATCAAAAATAAAAAAAATGTTGGTACAATTATGGATGCTTACTGATGTTAGTTTTCTGTTGAATTTCTAATATTGCAGTTATGGAGCATCTTGGAAGCTCAAGCATTGTGCGTGGGAGAGGCAAGAACAAGAGGATTTGGACGTACTTTGAGGATGAGGAGCTGATCAAGGCATTGTTCGAGATTGCTTTGGATCCAAGCTGGAAATCAGAAGGGGGTTTCAAAAATGGATACTGCCAAGTTCTAGAGAACGTGCTTGCTAAGAAGTTGCCAAGTTCTGGCCTTACTGCTGTTCCGCACATAGAGTCGAGAGTAAGACACTTTAGGACCAAGTTTGGCGCAATTGAAGTGATGCTAACCAAAAGTGGCTTTTCTTGGGATGACAATAGAAAGATGATACAATGTGAGAAACAACAATACGATGATCATTGCAGGGTAAGTCATCAAACTAACTATGGAGTAGAAAATTTATTTATTGATTCATGAGTGCATTGAATTGAAATATGTGAAACTACTGTAAGATATTTTATGAAATTTTGTTCCAAATAAGCGGCTATGTAAAATTCCTCTGAAATGTTTGCAAAGACAACATTATGGTTTTCTAGTAGTATGCTTTCTCATACATATGTTCTCTTGTGTTTTTCATGCAATTGTAGCTGCATAGGTCTCTCTTTTGCTTGCTAAACCATGACCTTAATTTTGTGTCATTCTTTGTATTTTACAGAAAAACAATGAGGCAAAGGGTCTATATGGTGTAGCATTCCCTCACTATGATACACTAGCTGCAATTTATGGTAAAGACATTGCTACTGGAGAAGGTGCAGAGGGTCTTGGTGAGGCTGTTGCTAATATGGAGAAAGAAATTGTTCAAGATATTCAAGATGAAGAAGATGAGGAGGATGAAGAGAGAGTGTCTAGAGAAACGCCTCGGCGGAGCATCGATTCAGCTGCAGCTCGACGGAGCATCGATTCAGCTGCAGCTCGACGGAGCATCGATTCAGCCACACCTCGACGGAGCATTGATTCAACTGCTTCAAGCTCTAAGAAGAGGAAGAAAGACAGCAACAAACTGAAAAATACCTTGTCAAGTGACCCTTTTATGGATGTCTTTGCCAATGTTCAAGGTGATCTGAGGGATGTTACAAAGCATGTGGGAGCAATGGTGGCATCTATGCAACGTGAAGCTGAGATCCAAGAGAAGGCAATGGCTGAGGAGGACCCACTACAAAAAATTCAGAACGAAGCTATTCTTGAGTGTCAAAAGATTGGATTGACTGGTACTGAAGTTGTCAATGCTGCAGCTGCTTTTGTAAAAGTGCCGGCTCAAATGAGTATGCTTCTCGCTCTTCCAGAGTCTCTCAGGAGGGAGTACGTACTGAAAATACTTGCTGGTAATTCACTTGATCAATCTTGTAGTGTTGCAAATGCAACAGGAAACATATCACTTTATTTTGTGATCATTAATTGTAAGCATATTGCTCTTTACCACTTAGCATTTCATATATGCATTCATATTATTTGCCTTGCACTAGTATAATGCATCAATGGACCCAGCTGTCCATCTCAATGCCATAGTAATATTATATTCACTTCTAACTGGAGTATGTGCTTGGTCTCTTGCTTACTTGCTTACACCTAACTGGGAGTTTTTGTACTCCTAAAGTTAAAAAATGCTACCTTTTTTCTGAATATCATATATGGCTTGTCTGTGCAAGAATATTCTTAATTTGGTATGATGCTGAGCACTATATATTTTCTTTCACCTAATGTTTCTTTCACTAATTTCTGAATTTTTTTTTTGTTATCAGATGAGGCAAAGAAAAATTGATGTACTGATGTGCTGGCTGTCAAGCATGATCTACAAGATGTTCATTATCTGTTTTTGAATTATTAGAATTCCATATAAGCATAGGCCTTGGGGATTGGAGACTACCTATGTCCTAAGGATGTTTAGTTTCAGTACTTCAGCTTTATTTGCTTGAACCATGACAATCTATATATTCTGTGATCAAAGTACTGTCCTGTTTTTCAGACAGAAGTATTGCCCCTAGCTTATTGTTTACTAATCTGCAAAATGTCTTTTTGTCTTGAGTTCTCACTGTCAAAATTTGTATCCAAACATGAGGTGACAGTGTTTGGAATATTATGAACTATCTGCCAAAACTCTGCTCGTTGCATGTATAGGAATTAACTCTCGAGTTATCTTTCAAACATTTGCATGTCAAAATTTATTGAGCTTCTTTATGTAGCTTTTGATGTCAGCTGCTGTTGATATAGTACTGGAGTGTGTCTGGTGCGAATGTTTCATAGCTTATGTCATATGCTTAATTGCGTACTTGTATAAGCATACTTGTATAATCAGTTATTTGATCAATGGTTGTCTGGAAGCAAGCAGTTCTTTGATTAGTGTAATCGGAGCAAATGATCTTCCCAAAGGCTTCTGTTTCAAATTTCGAATTGTGTCCTATTGATCAGCCTCCCGTTCCTTGGCTGCCATCCGCAATCCGCAACCAAACGCAGTAATGTAAATAAATGACGTTACCGCCTGCAACCAAACTAATCATGTAATCGGATAAATTGGTATCCGTTACGGCTGGAGGCAATACCATTAGCGTTTACGTTACCACATCCGAACCAAACACCACCTAAAGAGTAAACAAAAATGTTCTCTAGAATTATCCTTTTAAGAGGCAAATATTGGCATGAGTACAATATTGTCAGCGTTATTGGCTGACCTGATCGCTAATTCGCTGTGTGGTCAGCCGCCTGGTCTACTGATCTGGTGCTGCGGCATCTCGCAGCGTTCACACTGCACAGGTGGAGTTCTGCATCTTCCCTCCGATCGCATGTGCCAGCAATTCCATGAGAGTCCATGCGGCCCAAAACATCCTCAAGTGGTTCATAGCGTAATCATGCGACACGTAGCAGGCGTTTCTAATTTTACCATTTCCAAAATTTTTAAATCACATGTGCTAATTTTTCACCAGGTTGTACCCTGTCGGATGGTTTGGAAATTCTATAAATACTTTATACATCTGTATTACTAGAAACACATCACCCTATATATTTAACACGTATTTAAACTCGTCATAGAGCTTATACTGTACTCTGAACGGTCGACATGCATGCCATCACCACTGCGATCCTTTCGCTTTGCCTATCCTTCTCGCCCACTACCACCGCTATGGGTGTCAGGCCTATGACAACGTCATCAACAAGTGTTACATGGATCTCCTCGGCATATAGATCACGTGTGGTGTAATTAAAGACACATGAAAAGAGCTAAAGTCGGACAAAATGATACCAATCGGAAATGCTTTAAGAAATGAAAGGAAAAGATACGGTAACTAGCAAATGTGATAGATGTATCGGCATGGATTGACTGAGTATTCAACTCTTCAACGGATTCTACTATCATACATATGTCTGTACGACAAACAACGGATACCTCGACCAAACAGGATGACAATCGTGATAAATGCATCGGTGTGGATCAAGTGAGTATTCGAGGCCGTGTTTAGTTTCCCTCTATTCCCAACTTTCCATCACATCATATCACATCAAAATTTTTTCTACACATATAAACTTTTAACTTTTTTTTCAAACTCCTAACTTTTTTCAAACTTTCAACTTTTTTCAGGAACTAAACACACCCGACTCTCCAACATATTCTACTGTCGTACATGCGCATGAACGATGAATAACGAAACATATACGTACAGCTTTTGTCGGACTCAAAAAATTCGTACTCTCTTCGTCAAATTAAACTAATCTAGTATAAGATTGGAACATTATATTAAAATATATTTATTTTATATCAGCTTATTTTGGAATGGTTGTATTAATTCAATTCGGATAACATGACGGAGGACTGTTATCGTCGTTGGTTGCATCAACAAGGCTCAACCTAAAAGCACAATTATCTGTTGCAGAAAATCCTCCACCTTCGCATCCTGTCCTGTTGAGACCTGAGGTACCCTTGCAGTGGTGCATCCCCCTTTCTTTCCCACTTGACCACCTTGTTTGATTAATCGCTTAAAAGCTGCAGGTGTACTAATGAAAGTAGTACTAGTATACTTAACCAATTGACCATACTCTTCCTAGAATGGCGAAGAGCAAATTTAATAGTAAAGCTCACTGCTTACTATAAATTTAGAGTTAACTTATATAATAAGTTAGTTGTAAGGTTAACTTTATTTTTTCTATAAGGTTAACTTTATTTTTTCCATTCTCTCTCTTTCTCACTCCATAAATTTAATGCATATTTTTTGGAGGTTGTGTGGAGCTAACTCTTGCATGAGAGCCAATACTACCCACTTTTCCTTATCTCTCTTCCACATAAAGTATATAGTTTGCTTATAGCCCATTATTATCCTTGCTCTTATGAGGGGGGGCGATTAGTTAACGTTAAGCACGCTTTTACGAGCGAGAAGACAGGCTGTCACGCTTTTAACAGCAAACACATCACACATTAATCAATTCGCCTCCAGCACCAAGCCAACCGAGGCTCTTGGGAGTTGGGAGTTGGGACTCCCTGTGCCTCTCCTCTCCACCGCAACGACCACAAATCACCATCTGCTTTCTAGTTTCTTCCTGAAGTTCTGCGTCATAAAGGCAAAAATCCAAGATTGATTTTGGATGAAAAAGACTGCAGTGCTTAGCAAGTGTTCTGTTCTTGGAGTCGCAAGCTGCGGCTAGCTAGCAAGCAAGCAGCTTTTTTTTTTTCGCAGATCTTGGTGAAGAGCCTGTTCTTCCATGGCTTTCGCTTTGTGAGGTAACATGTGTTTTTTACATTCTGGAATATGAGTAGGAGTATATACTTGAAACAATAAGGTACCATGGCATGCTTGTAAAATTTCTATACCATAGCACCGTCAGATTTTTATGGTAAAAAAGAACAGATTTTTATGGTATTTGTTCAGTTCTCTTTAGTGAGATCCTTGTGTTTAATTTGCAGAGAAAAGGGTATTGTTAGTCAGTAAGTAAAAGGGTGGATCTTGTTCGAAGATTCAAGAGTCATGTTGGATTCTGGTTCTTATGATGATGTTGACTATGGGGATTTGTTCTCCATCCCCAATCCACCTGCGCCTCACTTGCTCAATTTCCCCCTCCAGTTCTTCCCTTCCAACGGATTCATCAGTTCTGCTGATGATTCCCATAGATCACCAGCTGGTATGTTTGGCTCGACCCCAAGCCCCACATCAACCACAACCGAGTTGGAAAATTCAGAGGATCTGTCTGAATCCGCCGACGATGCGGTCCTAGCATACATCAATCAGTTTCTTCTTGAAGATGAGGAAGATGAATCTTGTCCTGGCACCATCACATCGGTGGAGGACTCTGCCCTCCTCGCCGTCGAGAAGCCATTCGTTGACATCCTCACTGCTAGCCAAGAGGCCTGTCAAGAGAATTCTTGGATAGATTCTTGTTGTGATTTCACGGGGAATGGAGGATTGCTTGATACGTTCACAACCACACATGCCGCTTGCCAGCCAGCGCCTTGTGAATTTGAGAAGGAGAAGGGGGAGTGTGCTGTTCATAAAGGCCGGAAGAACCCGCATGATGATTGCCTATTGTTCGAGGAAGAGAGCAGGAGGAGCAAGCAGTTGGCAGTGTCTGAGGAGGAGACTGTCAGAGAGATGTTTGACAAGGTGCTTCTGTGTAATGGCGAATGCGAGCTCCGGGCACCACTGCCAGCTGAAGCACGGAACTGCGGGGTGTACGTGAAAGGATCTGGAAATAAGAGAGGCCGAAAGAAAGGAAAATCTGGAGCATCTGCAGAGGATGATGCGGTTGATCTCACTACCCTACTCATTCATTGTGCCCAGGCCGCTGCAATCGATGATCACCGGAACTCCAATGAGTTGCTGAAACAAATTAGGCAGCGTTCTTCTGCATATGGAGATGCCGGTCAGAGGTTAGCACATTGTTTTGCTAATGCGTTGGAGGCTCGGCTAGCTGGCACTGGCAGCAACATTTACCGTTCACTTGCTGCCAAGCGAACTTCTGTTTATGACATATTGAATGCATTCAAGCTGTATGTTACAGCATGCCCGTTCAAGAAAATATCGAACTTCTTCTCGATCGAAGCCATCTTGAACGCATCCAAGGGTATGACAAGGTTGCACATTGTTGACTATGGTATACAGTATGGATTCCAGTGGCCAATCTTCTTCCAGCGGATCTCGAAGAGACCTGGTGGCCCTCCAAGTGTTCGAATCACCGGTGTTGACTTACCACAGCCGGGATTCCGCCCTGCACAACTCATTGAGGCGACGGGCCGTCGGTTGCATGACTATGCCCGTATGTTCAATGTTCCATTTGAATACCATGCTATTGCTGCCAAGTGGGACACTATCCGTGTCGAAGATCTTAAGATAGACAAAGACAAGGATGAACTTCTTGTTGTTAACTGCCTTTTCCGGATGAGAAACATGATGGACGAAATGGTGACAGATGACAGCCCAAGAATGCAGGTTCTGAAGACAATAAGAAAGATGAATCCAAATTTGTTCATCCATGGCGTTGTCAATGGCACCTACAATGCGCCCTTCTTCGTGACACGATTCAAGGAGGCTTTGTTCTACTACTCTTCACTTTTTGATATGCTTGAAACAACTGCTTCACGGGTCGACGAAAACAGGCTGCTGATAGAAAGAGATCTCTTCGGCCGGGAAGCTCTTAATGTGGTTGCTTGTGAGGGCACTGAGAGAGTAGAAAGACCAGAGACGTACAAGCAATGGCAGGTGAGGAACATCAGGGCAGGCTTCAAGCAGCTACCACTGAACCAAGAGACGGTGAAGAAGGCAAGATACAAGGTGAAGAAATCCTACCACAGGGATTTCCTAGTTGACGAAGATAACAAATGGATGCTGCAAGGTTGGAAGGGGCGTATCATCTTTGCTCTTTCAGCATGGGAACCAAACTAGCAAACTGTAAATATGACTAACTCAGCTGATTTCTTCTGTGGAGGTACCACTCCATTAGTTATGTCTGATTCCTATTTCAATGAATTTTGACCTATTTCTGGGCAATAGAAGATATTGGATTTTGACTGGGCTAGAGTATACTTTGGATGAGTATCTGACAGAAAAGGATATACTTCTCTCTAAGCGTGTGTGACCTGTGGGGCTCAAAACTGTACTTTGAAAACACAATTACACATCATGCATGTACTGTTCACATGGTCCAGCCTGGGCAAAGGGTTAAAGCCTACATGGTGAATTGGTGATATAAATAACGAAATGGTTTATCTGCAACTTGATATGTAGTAGTACAGCGTGGATGTAACCAACTTGCAACTAGTTCAATGAACCAAAAGAACAGCACAATTTATCCACCCAAAAACAAAAGCCCAACTTGCTCATAATGTGCTAATGTATTGTTCAGTGCAATGCTTCTGAATTCAAGTGGCGCCTCAACATATTTTTCTTCTGTACAACATGAGCACGGAGCGGGCCCAGACTGTTTTTTCTTCTGACAATTAATGTTTGCATTGAGAAACATAAGCGTCTCACACTCTCACTGATCCCAAATCGTCAAATTTGATGAGAGGCCCTAGAGATCCAAAGAAAGAGCAGTATATTGATCCATTGCACGCTGCCTTTCCGGTGTTCATCCACAAGTCCACAACCCCCCGCACCATCGCTGCGTTACTGGAGCACGAATCATGCAGCGGAGCGGACAGGAGAAAGCTAGCTAGCCGCGCGCATTGCCGGAAAACGCGCAACTTGATTTTACTTTGGGTGGCAGATTAGCTGGGAGCATGTGTGTGTGGAGTAATAGGAATGCATGCACACTTCAATTCATAGGATTTTTTTCATGAGGTTTGTGTGGATGAAAATTTTCCCTTGTTTTCTCTCCACAATTAGAAAGGAAAATTTATTTTGGTTTTCTTATATCTAAATTCCTATGAACCGTATGATATTCATAAGAATTAATCCCTAGAAATCCAAATCCTTTAAAATTCCTCCAAAACGATTAGGCCCTGATTGTTATCTTTGTATCCAACTTCTGGGCCGAACTATATCTAGGCCCTGCCTCAGGTGGAGGCCTTTCTGCATAAAAACGCTTGGATTTGCAATACATTCACTAGGCTTTGAATAGCTGATTTCCAACCCAGACACCAAAGTACTAATACACTGGTAAAAACTTTACTATAACTATATTTTTTATGCCACTGACCTTTGCCATATCAATAATGTATTATAAATATTTTATTTCCTACTGATTTTTTAACATGCTAATTTCTGACTCTAGAGAGCAAATGTTAATGTTTCTTTGTTTTCCACTCTTTTTTACATTATCTGGGGATTTGATTAGTGTGGAAATGTGGACTAGGGTACTGGCCGTATACTGCTTAGCCGTCCGAAACATTGGGATATCTGTGCCCAATAATCTTTAATCAGTGATATCTTCTCTAGTTAGCAGGCTAGCAGTTGTAACTCTCAATTCCATCGATACTACTTTCATACCTGGGATTGTCACAAAGATATTTCAAGCTGTCATTTGTGACGTACATGCTTGCATTGATTATTATTTTTTAGTACGCAACGACAAATTTGCTTCTGTTTTTACACCTCTCTCTTTTTTTAAACCTTAGCCAGCTTAGCTGGTTTTATATTTCATAAGATAAGCACTGTACAAAATTTACACCTCTCTCAACAATATATTTCAATGAAAACATCAACACTGTTACAACCATAACTGTCAGTCTGTCACATTACCATCTAGAACTAACTCTAGATGAAAAGCACAAGCTCTTGCATGTTTAGTTAAGAACGATGCTTGCAGGACGTACGGACTCTCCCTAGTGATTAGGACACAAGAAATGCCCTTAGTAGTGTAGTCTCCCAGACAACCCAGCGGCATAGTTTCGCAGCATATGCCGGCTAAAACTATACAGAAATTAGAATGCATTTGAACTTTAGATATACAGACACGACGACACCAATGGTTGGACTTTTCATCCAGGCTCGACAGAGATGTTTTGACTCATGACAACGTTAGCTATATGCAAGGACGACGTACTTACATATCGTATACACATGCATAATTAATTGCGTATACTCTCTGTTGTCATGTGTGTGTTGGAAAAACGGGGAACAGATTCTGAAAAATGGCTGTAACCTCATTGGAATGACCATTTGGCCAATCATATCTTCCGTTCTAGAAGCAGAAAAGAATGAAAGGTTGCAAGCTTGGACATGGAGGCGAAGGAACCGAGGACAAGAGTCCATAGGACAAGATGCAGACAGCTAGCTTGGATAATATATAGAGTTGAGGAGCTTAACGATTTTTACCTGTTTGGTTGTTTGTATTTTACTTGAGATTCACTCAGTTTGTCTCACTGTCAAAGAGTTCATGACAGCTCAAAGTCCTACTTTTATATTAGCATCACACATTTTACTAACAGACTTGTAGCTTACTTCAGTTTCCTGTCTGAAATTTAAGTACTACTAGTACTAGCCATATAGGAGGGAAGAGAAATGGTTGTCACTGAATTTGGTTAGTGCATAAGAATTCTGTCTTTTTGTTTACTCTAAAATTGAATCCAACATAAGGTGCATTTGAGCATTTGGATAGATGAATATACTACAAGTAAATTCAATGCGACATATATTTGTAGCCTCTCAGGTTTGATACACTGTAATAGTTGGTTTTGCAATTATGTGTCAATCCTGCTAAAACGAACTTGCATAGATGGATTCAGAGAATCAGAGATGCCGCTGCGTCCTCTATGGTACCAGTGTAATCTGTTAGCTACTCCTTGGAAGTACTTCACCCAGATTCCAGATCGACTTCATTGATCCCAAACTTCAAGTTCAAGGATGCATCACAGAAGCCAATGCAACACAACTGTGTCATATGCTTTTTCCTTGGCAGATTTTTGCTGATTCCATCAGCAGAATCAACTCAGCTCCCAGCATTCACCAGGTGATAGTGATGCAATCCATGCCAGTTTGCAGCATACAGCTATTCTGTGTTTCACACTTGCAAACATGAGCAAAAGCACACAACTCGGTGAGACTACCAATGCTAGCCCCCTCCTCATTTTGTCTCGCCGAACCCGGCTCAAGCGTAGCACAAGATTTGTATAAATACTCGGCGAAGAAATTGCACGCAGTTCTCGTCAGTGTTCGCGCCAAAACTTGGTTAAAAAAAGGCACACGGGAGCTGACCGACAGACCGGAAAATGGCGCCAACAAGTAGCACTGAGGAGGTGAAGCACCTGACGCTTCACCACTTGTTGAAGCGGCAGCACCGGCTCAAGCCCGCCGCCGTGGTGTGGAGATGGCCGACGTCGGTGGTGCCCGGCGGCGGCGCCGGGCGGCCGCCGGTGCCCGACGAGCAGCTGGCGGCGGACGACGTGGACGGCCTGGGCGGGACGTGGCCGCCGCGGTCCTACACGTGCGCGTTCTGCCGCCGCGAGTTCCGGTCCGCGCAGGCGCTGGGCGGGCACATGAACGTGCACCGCCGCGACCGCGCCAAGATGCGCGGCCACGGCCTCCACGGCGCCGCCGGGCAGCAGCTCGGCGCGGCGGAGGCGCCTGCCGCCGCCGCCGCCGCGAGGACGGAGTACGCCGTGGCGCTGTACCCCATCCTGAACTCCGGCGCGGGCGGCGCGGCGGTGCGCATACCGCACGGAGACGTGCTGCTCTCCGCGCCCGTCGCGCTGGCGGCCGCGCGCCGTGGCCATGATCACCGGTGCATCGATGTAGGTGACGACGAGAACGACAAGAAGATTGACCTGGAGCTGCGCCTTGGGTGGCCGTGATCGATATACCATGGACATGGAGACATTTTTTTACAGTCGCCATGATGTGTGAATTTCTTTCCCCACCATTTTGATCATTTTTCAAATAACTCGAGTGAAACTCATGGTTTGCTACTGCATACTCCCTCCGTCTCATAATATAAGGAATTTTGATATTTTGCTTACATTTTTTGACCACTCATCTTATTCAAAAAAAAATTTATGTAAATATAAAAAACGAAAAGTTGTGCTTAAAGTACTTTGGATAATAAAGTAAGTCAAAAAAATAAATAATAATTCCAAATCTATTTATTATTAAAATAGCTTTGAAAGGAGGCACCACGTTGATTGTGGAGGCTAGAAATTCCCACATTAATCAGAGAAAAAGAAAAAAAGAAAAAAAAAGTCCAAGTAGAAATACAATCTAAAAATAGCTAAAATTCAGAATTAAACATAAGCAATATTGAAAGAAATTTTCATATAAGAACCCAATACGAGATTAATAAAAAATCGAAATAAAAATAAAATAAAATCCAAAATTAGAAAAGAAAAGGATAGTCCAAGTAGAAATACAATTTTAAAATAGCTAAAATTCGGAATTAAAAATAAGAAATATTAAAATAAGAGTCCATATAAAAACCCAATACAAGATTAATTAAAATTGGGAATAAAAATAAAAATAAAATCTGAAATTAGCAAAAAAAGAGAGTTCAACTAGGAATACAATTTAAAATTAGCTGAAATTCGGAATTAAAAATAAGCAATATTGAAAGAATAATCTATATAAGAACCCAATACGAGATTAATTAAAATTCAGAATAAAAAAATAAAATAATATCCAAAATTAAAAAATTAAAAGAGAGTTCAAGTAGGAGTACAATTTCGAAACAACTGAAATTGAAAATAAAAAATAAAAAAATTAAAAGAACACAATACGATATTAATTAAAATTTAAAAAAAAATCTGAAATTAGAAAAAGAAAAATAAGATTTCAATTAGGAATACAATTTATAAATATCTAAAATTTGTGATAAAAATAAAGACTATTGAAAGAAAATACCATATAAAACACATGACGAGATAAATTAAGTAACAGGCCTATAAAGGAGTAAAGTGGTGACATATAAAAACTGTTAATAAAACACCTAATAGAATCCTAATGACGATTAAAATGAGGGACGACAGGCAGGCCGTGAAGCAAACGAGCGAGGCGGTTGCCGGGACTTCTAGAAAGTAAAAAGAATAAACCCCATTGATAATCATATTCGATTTTTAAATATCTCTATGACAATAAAAAGGAGAAGCAGCAGGCGGGGTGTATAGGAGTATAGTTGCAGAGCCGCTGACGGTTGACGGGACTTCTAGAAAATAAAAAAAGAATTCCAACGATAGTTATGTACGATTTTTAGAATCACAATGACAATAAAGAGTAGGCGGCGGACAGGCCGTAGAGGAGCATAGTGGCATCATTTGACGAGACAATAAACTCTAAAAACTAGAATGTCCAATTTTTAAAGGTTCGGAACTTCTAAAAAGTAAAAAAAACAATGATAATTATGTTCGATTTTAAAATCTCAATGACAATAAAGAAGAGAGGCAGCGGGCGAGCCGTAGAGAAGTACAATGGTAAAGCCGCTGATGGTTTGGCGGGATTTCTAGAAAGTAAAAATGAACCCAAACGATAATTATGTTCGATTTTTAAAATCTCAATGGCAATAAAGAGAAGAGACAGTGGAGGGGCCATAGAGGAGTATAATGGTAATGTTTGACGGGACATCTAGAAATTATAAAAACGAAACCCAACGTGACAATAAACTCTAAAAATTATAAGGTCCAATTTTTAAAGATTCTAAGGAGAATGAAAAGAAATAGTGGTAGATCGAGCAAGCAAATAAAAATGGAGATGACATAAGGGGTAGCAACTGGTGTGACTTAAAAAAATATATAATTAGAAACAAGGGGATGATAAGGTTTGGTCTTTCAAAGTCTTAAGACAATGAAATAGCTATTTAATAAATTTTAAGTAAAATCATAAAAAAATATGATTTTGTTTCGGTGCTAACTGCGTAATTGTACGGGCCACCCAGCTAGTTTTTTTTAATAAGACGAATGGTCAAACAGTGTAAGTTCAATGTCAAAATCCCTTATATTAGGACGGAGGGAGTGCATTAGTAACGGTGAGACAAAATGAAATTTATTTCCATTATTAACAAAGAACAGTGAGAAAAAAATGGTGAGGCAAGAAGAGCGAAGAAGAAAGGGACAAATATGTAGGCCTAAGCATCGCGAGTGATGTGCTTCTCCCCATGATTTCCGACAGTTTCGAGGCGGCGCCAAGGCCCAAGGATTCCTATCTGAGGATTGCCGGTGAAATATCAGTAGCATACATGATACATATACCATACATTTTACTCCTATCATATAATAAGAAAAAAAAAAGGAATAAGTTCACTTGAACTTCAACCGCAAAACCGGATAGGATGCCTATCCGAACTATTAAAACCGGTGTAATTTCATTCCCTCGACGGTTTTGGAGGATGGTTTCGCTGACGTGATGCATACGTGGCGGTATTGACCTGGTCTTTCTTCCACGTGACGTTGACGTGGCACTTATATGACATTAAAATTTTAAAAATATGTAGCTCCAGAAGAGAGCGCAGCAGAAGTACAGCGCCAAGCAGTGACATGAAGCAGCACTGCCACGACGAGCATGTGCGCGTGGTCGTGCGGCCGCGGTGCGCCGTCCTTGCAGTACACCTTGTGGATCTCCTCGCGGTCGTCGCCGGTGTCGGGGCGCCACCGGCGGAGCAGCACGAGGTGGTGGAAGATCTTGGCGTGCTGGTGCAGGCACATGATGGTGAAGAGCGTGTTGAGGTTCTGGACCATCTGGTCGATCACCTCCGTCCACTTCTTCCGCTGCTCGTCGTCGGGATGGTGGAGTCGAGCATGCCGGTCATGAGCATGAACAGCAGCAGCAGCCCGGCGGCGACGAACACCAACCAAATGATCATGGCAAAGTTCTTGGGCTTCCTGCACCAGCTCACTGGAGGCGCCGACGACGGCTCCTCCATGGTTGACATGCTTTTGCGTACATGGTGCGATGCAGATGGCGGTGACGGCGGCGTTGAACGGCGTCGGGCTAGCACTGCAAATCCCGGCGATATGCTCCTTCGCCGCCGACTGCAAATCCTGGCAACTACGCGGCGGCGGTGCTGGCAGCGTCGACGACCACCACCGCCAAGCCGGTGCGGCAAGAGCTACAGGAGTTCGCAAGGGAGGCGAAGGGACTCACGGGCTCATTCCCCAGGTCGGCGCTCTCCTTCACGGCGATGTGGCTAGAGCTCGTTCGCTGCCGTCCTACTCCTCGCACTCCCTAGTGGCCTAGTGACCCACCCACCGCCGCCAAGCACGGCGCCGCGCTGCTCATGGCGTCGTGGAACCCATCGTCGACGAACGGTGGTCGGCGTCCTCGCCGAGCGCCTGTACGGCTACGAGCTGGCTGCGGGGGGGGGGGCACTAGGCCACTAGCCACTCCAGAGGGACGGGTGCAACGCGGCGTCCCTCGCAAGGGCGCTGTATCGCCGTCCCCATGGTGCTGTCCGGTACTGAGAGAAGGGAGGAAGAGGGGAGGAAGAAGAAGAGAGAGGATGATATGTTGGGCCCACATGTCAGTGGGCCCCACCTTTTTTATGTGTGTGAATGACAAACGGATCCCACATATACGTTTTTAATTCAAATGACATCTAAGCGTCATGTCAACCCACAGACATGTCAACACCGCCACGTCAGCGAAACCGCCCTCCAAAACCGCTAAGGAAGTCAAATTGCACCGATTTCAATAGTTCGGGGGATCGAGATATCTGGATTTGCGTTTAGGGTTATGGATTAGATTCGGGTCACTTTTTAAGGGAGGCAAAGTGGACTTATTTTTAAAAAAAAAGATCACGAGAACAATTAAAAAGAAGGCCTGAAAGGCCCAAACGCAATCCATGAAAGCTCTCCTACGTGTTCCCTCATTTGAGGCCCAAAACACAACAGGGTCACGTTAAAATCACAGCCCACGCCCTACTCTCAGTTCAACTGGCCTCGCAGAAAAATGCAAATATCCCTTGTTCCAAACGGGTGCATTTGCAGCGTATCGTGAATTCGTGATCGGGCCGTGCAGCCTGCAGCTCTCGGCGCTCGATCGACCGGGGCCAAGAGGGTACTACCAGCCTGCGCTGCACGTGGCGCACGCAGCTACCGCTGGAGACCTGGAGCGTACGCGCGCGTGCTAGGCCGGGGCCAACGGCGACATCCACGCATGCATGGCATGCTGCCACTAGCTGCTCGACCGGTACCGCACATACACGCTCGCACAGTCGCACACTCGCACAGTGTGGTGAACTGGTGACGCTGAGATGCCGTCCACGCGCGCGCGCGGCCGCGGGGACCGATAGATCGATCGAGATGCCGTACGCGCGTCGACTGACACCGTCGCCGACCGTGTCATCACGATTCGCTTCCAGTTGAGCGGCGCCTTCTGCAGGCGTCGGCGCACGCGTACACCCGGCCACCCGCGCGTACGTACCGTGCCCCGGTTGGACCGTGTCCGGCCGGTTGGCCGGTTTTGCTCCCCTTCTCCTGAAAGAATCGGTGTGCGACACGGTGCATATATAAGTGGGGGTGGGTTGATGGGTTCATGCGTACGTACATGTGCATGGCAAGCTGCATGTATCGTACTGGAGGTAATTAATTAGCGGACGTACGTGATTATTTTTCGATCACATGCATACAAAGCTTTAACAACGAGCAAACGCAACTGCGCAAGCCACGTACCACTCGATCGAGTACCTTTAATATATAGAGGTTATAGACAAATCCAACGAACCTCGTACAGGGAGCTAGTTTCTGATAATCCCCGGAAAAGCTGGATTTTTCAATTTTTATCTTCTATTTTATTTACTGTATTTTGTACTTACATCATCTTAGAATTGGTGTAAAAATATATCTTGTTTGAGAGGAGTTGAAGATGAAAGAAG